ACCGAGAACTGTGTCATCTAGGGGGTGGGGGGTGGAATCCTACCGAGACTGTGTCATCTAGGGGGTGGGGGTGGAATCCTACCGAGACTGTGTCATCTAGGGGGTGGGGGTGGAATCCTACCGAGAAGACGGGCATGTCGCTTGTTTCTTTTGTCGGCGGCCTCAAGCTGAGGAGCTCTTCTGGCCTGCTGCGCTTGTCGAGGTAGGCGATTGTGAAACATGGATGGGTGATCGGAGGTGAAGCCGGCGAGTAGAGGAGTGTGACGCAGCAGGAGTGAGGTGCCATAGATAGTGAGTCTGTGAGCGGAGGATCGGGAGGATTTCGCGGAGAGAGATTGAAGTGTCTGTTGCATGCTGACGGTTGCTTCTTTATGGTTTGCCAGTGCAATGAAGCATGAAGCAAGCAAGGCTTTCGAGGGACGTGCGGAGCGGAGAGCAAACGGCACGACAGGTAGAGGTCCGCAGTTGCCTGATCGTGAGAAACAAGACAATCAGAGTCGGTTTGCATGGAGTCATGACCGGTCACACACGAAGAAAAGGCAGGGAGATGTCGCAGGAAACGAGATCGAGATCGCGAGGGCATCCAAGTTAGTCGACCAGACAGCCAAAAGCTTGTCGTTGCGCAAGAGAGAGGCTGAGCTGAAGGAGGCTGAGGTCACAGGAGACGAGATCGAGATCGCAGACGCCCTCCTGAGAGTCAGGGAGGCAGAGCTGGAGGAGGCTGAGGTCACAGGAGACGAGATCGAGATCGCGAAGGCACGCAAGTTAGTCAACAAGGCATGGCTAAGCTTGTCGTTGCGCAAGAGAGAGGCTGAGCTGGAGGAGGCTGAGGTCACAGGAGACGAGATCGAGATCCTCAAGGCACGAATCAGGGTCAGGGAGGCTGAGCTGGAGGAGGCTGAGGTCACAGGAGACGAGATCGAGATCCTCAAGGCACGAATCAGGGTCAGGGAGGCTGAGCTGGAGGAGGCTGAGGTCACAGGAGACGAGATCGAGATCCTCAAGGCACGAATCAGGGTCAGGGAGGCAGAGCTGGAGGTGGCTGAGGTCACAGGAGACGAGATCGAGATCGCAGAGGCCCTTCTTGCCCTCAGGATGGCAGAGCTGGAGGAGGTTTGGC